GACCAAGGGCTTATCGTCCACATCCACCTGGAGCTTGCGCGCCTCGTCACGCCTCTGGGCCACCTCAGCCTCCAAGTTCCGGGCCTGCTCCTGGCGCTGGCTGACATCCACAGCAAGTTTGGCGGTCATCGCCTCTGCCGTGACCTTCAGATCCTTCTCCCATCGGAGCTCGCCCTCTAGGAGGCTGATCCGCTGCTAGGCGTCATCATGCTCCTTCCGTAGCCGCTCGATCTCCGTGGCATCCATGCGCGTACTCTCGATCAGGTCCAAGAGCTTCTCCCTAGCTTCACGAGCATCGTCACAAGCCTCCGTGTACTTGATCCGGAGGTCGGCCAACTCCTGGCGAACGGGGCCAAGTTCGGCCACTTCGTGACGAGTGGCAGCGAGCTGGGCGGCTAGTTCCTCACGTAGCTGCTCCCCCGTAGCTCGCAGCTGCTCCTTCGCCATGAGGCGATCCCAAACGCCCTTGTCATGGCGAAGGAACGCAGACTTCTCTTGGCTACGGTCCATGAGAACCTACGAAAAGGGTACAAGTTAAATGGCAAGAAAAGGGAAGAAGAAGGTCAGAAATGCTGATGCACTATACCTGGCCAACCGGAGCGATGACATCTTACAGCGAACTCATCACGCTGGTCAGGGCACGGACCATGACCCCCACCTCCACGTGGATGCTCCCCAACTCCCTCTTATCCGTGGAGTCATCGAGGGTGAAGAGCGTCGCCCCCGGGTCCCGACGGTCGGCCCACCAGATTCGGGGTCCTCCCCAAGTGTGAGGGTCACCGCCGACCCGGACCAGAGGTCAAGATGCCTCCGTGCTGACCCCAGGCAGCGCCAACACCTCTCACGACTGCAATTCCCCTGGAGCAGCCCCCCAGCGGTAGAGGGGGTGGGCGACGTGGACGAGGAAGGTTGCCCCGCCATCGTGCCTGCCGAGGGTGCACCAGGCGTGGCCTCCTCCGTCCGTCTCGCCACGGGTGCCACCGTCTGCCCGGACGACAGCCCCGGTTGCTTGCGGCGAAGGCGGGTCTTCATCCCCGTTGGCCAGATCATCCCATGGGATGGGCGACCCAGAGTCGTCGCCCCCTCCTCCTCTTCTTCTTCCTCCTCATCGTCCTCCTCCGATGAGCCTTGGTGCCGCTTCCCCCGCTGCAGCTTTGCCCGCTCCTTCGCTCATCGTTTCTTCTCCTTGTCGTCCTTCTCCATCTTCCTCCGCTCAACTGCGGCATGGTTCGCCACCCTCATGGCCACATGCTCCGGGAACGGCGAGATAGAGGCTCGAAAGCCCAAATCCGCCAGCATCTCTATGAAGCCCCACTCCGACCGTGTCATGGGATGTCCCGAGATCGAGAACACGGCGTTGGATTCGTCCGTCGCTTCCTTAACGCGCTGCACATTCTTGTTGTTTCTTCTCCTACCGAGGGTGCACCAGGCATGGCCTCCTCCATCCATCTCGCCATGGGTGCCACCGTCTGCTCGAACGATAGCTCCTGTTGCCTACGGCGAAGGTGGGTCCTCGTCCCCACCGGCTAGATCATCCCATGGGATGGGCGACCCATAGTCGTTGCCCACCTCCTCCTCTTCTTCTTCCTCCTCCGATGAGCCTTGGCGTCCCTTCCCCTGCTGCAGCTTCACCCGCTGTTTCTTCTCCTTGTCATCCTTCTCCTTCTTCCTCTGCTCATCTATGGCATTGTTCGCCGCCCTCATGGCCGCATGCTCCGGGAGCGGTCGCGACAGAGGCCCGAAAGCCCAAATCCAACAGCAGCTCGATGTAGCCCGGCTCCGGCCGCATCATGGGATGTCCCAGGATCGGGAACACGGCGTTGAACTCATCCGTCGCTTCCTTGACGCGCTGCGCAATCTCGCTGTTGCAAAATGGCCCCTGAGCGAGCACCATCCCGCCGAGTTCCACGACGGGCACCATCTCGAACAACGGGAGGGCGCGCGCCATCAGCGGCGCCACCCTCCTCGTGTGATATGCTCCAATAAGGCCATGGCTCCTCAACGACATGAAGGCCTTGAGGATGTCGCGCATCTTTTTCTCTTCCTTGATGGGTGGCCTCCACGGCCACGTCGGTGGCGCCTCTTCGATCAAGCGCTAAGTGAAGTACGACAAGGGGGGCAGCGGGGTCGTTCTTCAAGTAGAACCACTACACGTGCCACCCTTGTTGGATCTAGACAGCTGGCAGGGCATGTACTCGACCGCCCGCTGCCCCCAGAGGTGGATGCCCGCACATCCCATCGGCACCAGGATCTTCCTACCTCTGTCCTTCTTCCTATGTAGGGAGACGACGAAGAAGTACCTCCACAACTCAAAATGTGGCTCGATCCCTAGGTACCCCTCGCACATTACGATGAAGGCCACGATGTGCTGGATCCCATTGGGATTGAGGTGCTGCAACTCGACCTGGTAGTGGTGCAGTAGCCCCCAGAAGAACGGATGAGGGGGATCACGAGCCCACGCTTGTGGAAGGGCGTGACGGAGATGATGTAACCATCGGGCAGCATTGGCACCTCCTCGTGGTCAAGAACCAGCCACTCCATCGCGTCGGTCCTCCCGCGAAGAAGACCGTGCTTGACGAGGCCCTCCATGCATGTGTGGGTGACGTCAGAACGGTACCATGACTCCATGGAAAGCGAAGACAGAGGAGCAAGAATTTTTTGGCGATGGTAGAGAAGCAAAAGCTATGGATCTAGGGCGCTGGCAGCGGGCTAGCAGAGGCAGCAGATCCGAACGATGGCGGCGGAAAGGCGAACAAGGCAAGATTGCAGTTTGGCACGTCAAAACATGGAGGAGGAGCACGCTATTTATAAGGCGGGGTGAGATGGGAGGTGAACCGTCCGCCTAGATCGACGCGCCCGGCACGCCCCATCACTTCGCCTCTCCAGGAATCATGCACATGCCACCCTCGGCCGCTCCTCGAAGGGCTAAAAATCACCGCAGGTAAGTAGGGATACGGAGCTAAAAATGATCCCACGGCCCATTAAGGCATAGGAGTTCGAATGTTGGCCCACCGACGGGTTCACAACCGCTCCGAGGCACCTTTAGAGTGAGGGGTGGAACAGGATGGGCCCGCTAGTGGCCAGTACCTGGGCTCACAAGCGTCGTGGGCATCCCGGGCCACGTTCGAGTCTTGATAGAGCACGGTCTATGATTTTTCCTCGAAGTAAGGCAATGAGCCCTCAGGACCGGTCGAACGGACCCGGGAACTATATGGGCTAGCCGTAAGGAATCTGGAGTCGGTCACCAGCTGACCCATGTCGGACCCCCATGAACGGGAAGCCGGGGCCCCACTCGAACTTGCCCGTTAACAGCTCACGAGCACCATAGTTCGTCCATCGAGGAAAACATGGCATGGCTCAGGCCCTCTGTTTTATCGAAAAAACGCTTAAGGGAGGACGACTTTAAGACGAGCCAACCCCTCGACCGGACCCTTGCTGCGCGCGGGGGGCTCGAGGGTTGGGCTTGCAAGGAGACCGAATACGCAGTCTCATAACAATGGCGGATCGGTCGGATCCTAGAGAGGAATCACAATCAAGAGAGATCCTCTCTGATCCCCCAAATCGCGCAGCTACATGCTCCTGAGGAGTCCGAACACAAGGAATCTTGACCATACCAAGACATTCCGTGGCCCGCAAAGAGAGATCAAGATCCCCATAATCCTTTCATCCGAAAAAGCCTTCGAAGGAGTATCCTACTTCTCCGCAGGCTCGGGGGCTACTGTCGGGTATCAGTATCAGGGATACCCGGAAGAAGGAAGCTAATGGCCGCAAACACTAACTCCTTCGGATGGTCAAGAGCGTATCTTGGTCTCGCCCGGCCTTGAGGGCACGGGCTCCGTCTCGCCCGACCTCAAGGATACAGGATCCAGGTCACCCGACCCTAAGGGCGCGAGCTCCATCTCGCCCGACCCCTAGGGCTAGAGCCCCGTCACGTCCGACCCCGAGGGCGCGGACTCCGCCTCGGGCGCTGGCTCCGCCTTGTCCGACCCCGAGGGGGTGGGCTCCCCCTCGCCCGACAGAGGTCTGTACCGCCCTCAACCACTACGGGTCTGAAAGTATGAGTCCGGGGTCAAACTTCTGATGCCAGAGGAGGAGCAGGCGCGTCTTGACGTGACCTGCGACCACGATGGGACACGTCTGAGGACACACATCGCCAATAGCATCTGGCGTGCCGGCGCTGTACTACCTACTCCCCGCACTGCCTCAGGCGGAGATGTCAACGAGCCATACCGTCCGCTGTGATGGGATGGAGCGCCACGCCCGGCTGACGATGCCCGCGTACGGCGTCAGTGACGAATAGGGCCGTGACGTGGAGCCGTCCCTGTCATCATCTACAGGGCCGGCGGGACCCGCGTAAAGGAGATGGAAGACGTTGCAATCCCGAAAGCCTTCCTCTCCTCGTCTCTCTCTCTCTCTCTCTCTCTTCGATGTAATCTGCATCTTTCTCTTCATCTATAAAAGGGGAAGCAGGGCACTCCACGGAGGGGCAATTCTAAGACACATCTAACACGTCGGAGCGGCGGAAGGCTTAGGGGCTCAGCAGTAGACAGAGAGCTCAACCAGACTCACTCTTTCTACCATAGACTTGTGACATTCTCCCTCTCTCGCCTGTTTGTAACCCCTATTATAAACCAAGTGCCGGTAATACGAGCAACAACAGACCGGACGTAGGGACGTTCCACCCAAACCAGTATAAATCATTGTGTCCTCCGAGCACAGCCATCCAGATCAGACGCGCAATCTAGAAATTTACTGCAGTGATTCGAAACACCGACACCCTTTCGTGGCGATCGCTCTCAGGTGTCTCCATCTCTTGTTCATTGACCAGCATGGCAAGGTAGCCACGTCGGGCACCAAGCCACCAACCAACACAATCGGCACCGCGTCTGTGCCATACGCCACTCAGGCACTCACTCGTGTCCTGTGTCCACGACACTACACTATTAATTCAGTGCTCTCTTCCCCGGCGCCTGCGTGCGCGCAAGGCCCTGCTTCCTGCAATGGGGGAGGAGACGCACCAGAGCGTGCAGGAGCTGGCGGCGTCGCTGGGCGCGCTACCGCCGGAGTTCGTGCGGTCTGAGCACGACCGCGGGGTCGCCGCGCCGGACGCGCCGGTGATCGACATGTCGGAGCCCGGGTTCGGCGCGCGCATGGCCGTAGCCGCCAGGGAGTGGGAGCTGTTCCAGGTGGTGAACCACGGCGAACCCTCCGCGGCGGTGGCGGAGCTCCAGCGCGTTGGGCGGGCCTTCTTCGCGCTGCCGCGGGAGGAGAAGGAGCGCTACGCCATGGACCCGGCGTCGGGCAAGATCGAGGGCTACGGCACCAAGCTGCAGAGGGACCTCGAGGGCAAGAAGACGTGGAACGACTTCTTCTTCTTCCACGTCGTCGCGCCGCCGGAGAAGGTGGACCACGCCGTCTGGCCCGAGAGCCTCGCCGTCGCCGGGTACAGGGAGGCGAACGAGGAGTATTGCAGCCACATGCAGCGCCTGACGCGCGAGCTGTTCGAGCACCTCTCGCTGGGGCTCGGCCTCCACGAGGGCGCCATGGCGGCGGCGTTCGGCGGCGACGGCCTGGTGTGTTCCTGCAGAAGATCAACTTCTACCCGCCGTGCCCGCAGTCGGAGCTCACGCTCGGCGTCGCGCCGCACACCGACATGAGCACGCTCACCGTCCTCGTGCCCAACGACGTGCAGGGCCTCCAAGTCTTCAAGGATGGTCAGTGGTACGACGCCAAGTACGTGCCGGACGCGCTCATCGTCCACATTGGCGACCAGATAGAGGCAAGCGTGCAACGACTCAGCATTTTTTTTTCTCTTCTGATGATCTTGCTCGCCCACGTCTTTGGTGTGCGGACACTCTTACTAACTGGTACGGAGTTTGTTTATGTCTCGTTGAACATGCACATGCACCAATCGCGTAGATTTTCAGCAAGGCGGTGCTGCACCGTACGACGGTGAACAAGGAGAAGATGCGGATGTCATGGCCGGTGTTCGTGGAGCTGCCGGGGGAGCTCGTCCTCGGACCGCACCCGAATTGAAGCTGGTCACGGACGAGAGACCGGCCAAGAAGTACCAGGACTACCAGCACTGCAAGATGAACAAGCTTCCCATGTAACTCGGGCGTTATCGTGTGGACCCGTTTCTCAGTCATTCTGTGTTAGTCTGATGTATAATAAGTCACATAACCGTGGTGTTTTTCAGTCGCATGCGCATGGCCACGGAATTGGCTCGTGGGCTCGTGGCTGTCGTTTAGTTTGGGCCACCAATTGTGGGCTGGTTATCTACTCTCTTTGTGACAAAGGCCCGGCCTGGTTAGATATAATAATAATAAATTAAAAATACTGGGCATACGTGCCCGCCTGGTCTGGTTTGGGCCACCAATTGTGGGTTATCTCTACAAATATGGTTTCCGGCTCGGAACAAGAGCTGCCTCTAGAAATCGATCTACAGTGGTTGTTACGGTTCGAGCCGTCTCCGTAAATCGGTTGTTCTGAAAATAAATATTCAAGCAAAAAATAACAAAAAAATAAGCCAAAAAAAATCCCAGAAGTCCTCACTAGACAGCCACACAAGCCATGTGATTTTTTCACACGCCTCGCGCGTGGTTCGAACCCGCGACCTCATAACTCACGCATTTATCATCTAACCACTCTACCTATAAACACACTTGTGTTTATTTGGAATATTCGTTCTCCTCATTTTATCTTCATCTGATTTTGAAATGTGTATTTGGGACTCTAAAAAATTGTCAACTATAAGGTTTTATAACTTTTCGAGATCTATATCTTGATTTTGGTCGTTTGTCCATCCGATGTTGTTTGAAAATTTTAAATTCTAAATATGAGAAATTCAAACATAATTTTCCATGCATAGATGATTTTAAATGAAAAATTACCAACTACAAAGTTGCATAACCTTTTGAGATCTACAACTTTTGTTTTGGTTGTTTCTCCATTTCTAGTCGTTTGAAGAATTCAAATTTTACTATGCAGCTCGTATTTTCAGAGATGCCTAAAATTGATTTATAGAGGCCGCTAGAAATAAAGCCACCTCTATAAATTGACACGCCTCTATAAAAAGGTCTCATTGCTGAAAATCAATTTTGTAATACCTCTTTGCTTATTTTCCCCGAAGATGTCATGCACAAATTTACCTCTATTCATACTAAAAAGGCATTAAACAAAAAGTCACACGGTCCTAACATAATAAGTCATTAGTGTGCACACCTCTCTATATGATATATGATTCGCTTGATTTATGTCACATTAATCAAGAAAAGAAAATTGTTAGTTCGTTACTCATGTCATGTTCAAACAAAAGTGTTACTTATATCACATTCAAACAAAAAACATTGAAAGAGTTAAGTTCCAAAAACAAAACATACTACGTAGAGTCACGTTCCAAAAAGGTCATAAGCATGTTCCAACAAGTGTCAGAAAATCACTTTGGGATCTTATCACAAATCACATGCATGTTAGATCTTATTACAAGATTTTTTTCTAATTATTTCTACTTTTTTAAAAAAAAGTATATATATATATATATTTATTTATTTATTTATCAAGTACCTCCTAGCAAGTAATAGTTGATCACAACCATCTCGATCTACGTATAAATGGATCGCCCACCGTCGTTTAGGAGTACGGTCAAACCCCAGGTTTTTGCTCCTGCAGGCCCCACGTCCAAGCCTCATCAATCACTAGTTCTTCGGGCACGTCCATGCGCGCGGGCCACTGACCACACGTATTTTTTGGGGAAAAAAGATATAATCAAGGGGGGCCTGTATTTCGATTTGAGAAAAATCTGAGTAGGTTTTCGAAAAAATCGCTGAGAGTGTCTTTAGAGTGCGGGTTGATTTTTGATAAAAGGAAGGGTTTTTTTGCAAAAAAGCCAGAACTCATTCGTTCTGGACTGCGGGTTGATTTGAAAATTATCTGAGGTGTTATTTGCAAAATATTCTGAGAGAGCCTCTGGAGCACGGGTTGATTTCCCAAAAATATAAGGGGTTTTTCGTAAAATAACCACGCCTCGCTCGATCTGGGCCGTCGATGCAGCCGATCGAACGGTCGGGCGACGTGGCGTGCCGTGTGGGCAGCCTGGCCACACGGTTTCTTGTCTTTAGATTTCGAATAAGATTGCCTGCGTCGGTTTTTCCTTTTGGTGGAAGATCCTCATCCTCTCATTCCTGTTTCCACAGGGTACAGGTGACCAAAATCATTTTGGGCAGCCTCAGCCTTGCTAACATCGTTCACAGTGGCCGAGTACCTCCTTGACTTGCCTTGCCTGTTGGTTTGAACTTATCAGCCGACTTGTCAGAAAGAATTTATAGTATTTTTCTCTCATAACAAATCAGCCAGTCGGCTTTGATACAAGCCGAACTGGCCCTTCAGTCGCTGTCCTATCATATGATTGACACATACTTCATAGTGTTAAATATAGACTAATTACGAAATTAAATACACAGATTGAGATTAATTTGTGAGACGGATTTTTTAAACCTAATTAGTCTATGATTTGACAATGTGGTGCTAAAGTGAATACGTGGTAATGAAAGATTAATTTGGCTTAATAAATTCGTCTCGCGGATTACTGATGAATTTTGTAATTTATTTTTTATTAGTATCCGAACATCACATGCAACACTCCATGTGATATCAATGAGACACTTGTTAAGCGCGTGTTCAGTTCCACCGCAAAATCCCAAAAAAAATGCTACAGTACCTGTCACATCGAATGTTTGCGGCCTATGCATGAAGTATTAAATGTAGACAAAAAAAAACTAATTGCACAGTTTGGTGGGAAATTACGAGACAAACGTTTTGAGCCTAATTAATCCATATTTGAACACTAATTGCCAAATAAAAACGAACGTGCTACAGTAACCCCAAATTCCAACTTCCTGAAACTAAACACGCGCTAAACTTTACTCGTGCATCAAACACCCCCGGCACCATCGCATCCGGGTCCAGATAAACATGAATGTCGTGATCGACAGTACGCGGCTACGCGCGCGGCTGCTCCACAAGCTGCTGCAGAGACAGAGAGAGAAATCAATCACACCCGGCTCACCGGCTGGCGCCGGCGGCGGCTTGGCACGCACTGTACCTAGTAGATCCAGTCCACTAGTCCAGCTACGACGTCCATAGATGCCGATTGGTTGGTTCGATCAAGCGGCGCAAGGCAATTGGTGGCCAGGCGTACGTCTTCTCTCCTTTCAAGGAGAAGGGGGTCTCGTGCACGCAACGCCGTGGCTAGGAGGAGTTGATCAGCCGACAGGTGTATGCCATGTTTCGCCTGCTGCTCTTGCTAATGGACTTGGTGCAGATACATGAACTCATGAAAAGAGTGCACTCATCACAGTGTCTCCCGATATCCTTGCATCCTTGGACCACGCCGCGTTTCTGGCTTTCTGCCCGCGTTGCTTCCGGCCGCGCTAGCCGCTAGATGCTGGCATGGTCGTGGCATCTATCCGCCGCCCACTCTATCCCTACGCAACTAGCTACTAGTGTCACCGGTCACCGGTCGTCGTGAGTCGTCACCCGTTCCGATCCAGCCACGGGAAAAGCAAGAAACCGCCCCGGTCGATGAAGCGACGACTAGCGAACGAGCAAGAAGCCCTACTGCTACACCGTATCTTTTTTATATAATAAAAGTTAGCTTTTATTAATATTAAATTCTTAAAACATTATTACATCTAGTGATCTAGATGATACAAAGTCTTAAAATTGTACTTGTAGCCTCTGCCTAACAAAAGGCACACAACCGCAGGACTAAAGGGATACCGACACATCTAGTGACTATCAATTCGTAGATTAGATCGCACTCATGTGTGCTTGGAAGAAAATATTCTTGGCCACATGCGCCAACTACTACGAGACCACTACAGTCAAGTCTTCAGAAGCCACCTTCTGTATAATAGCCTAAGTACGTAGCCATTGGATGACCGAATGAATAACCTGCACAGAAAGAACATGTTTTTTTTTTCATTTCAAAACTAATATCATTTATACAAAGCCAAAGTGACCAGTAAGTAGCAGTTGCTCCAAGCTGAAGTAGTGGTTTTAGTTCTTTACTAAATCCTCCTAACCAACCACAAAACAGGTGAGAAACACTGCAAGGTTCGTCCAGTAGCCACCTGAATAATCGACCAAATAAAACAAGCGAAGTGGCATTGAAAAAACAGGTGCATAATTGTCTCATCGACAAAAAGGTACATATTTTACTACCATGCCAGTTGCGCTTAGCAAGAGTCAATACAACATTACAACTCCTCTTCGTAAGTACCATAAAAAGATTTTGATTTTTAATTAGGGCTTTTGTTTCCATAAACTTTTGTTAAAATTAGGAACATTAACATTTATTATTGCTTGGTAGTGTGATTTCACTTAGAATTGTCCATTGGGCAATGAAAAATATCAGGATCCTGAGACAATTTTTATGTTAGTAATACGTGGTAAAAAATTATTCCAAGCTACTGACTTAGGGCCTATAAGATCCATGCACCAAGAGAGATTTGGTGGAGAAACGCCAAGCACATCACAAGATGTCCATTTGGGCCGGGCCATAATGGCGGCACGAGCACGGACCGGCCCGAACTAACTTGTGCCCGTGCCGGCCTGGCCCGTGTAGGTGTGCCGTGCTTGGGCCGTACCCCCGGCACGGTGGGCCAGCACGAGCATGGCCCGATAAGCCCCTCGGTCCGTTAAGGCCCGTCATGGCCTTACTAACCTCCCCACCCAGGCATTCGCTCATCCCATCTCGAGATGGCAACGGGGAATTTCCCGTCGGGGAATGCCTCTCCATCCCCGTCCCCGCAGGGAGAAAAAATCCCCGTCCCCGTCCCCGTCCCCGCCAAAGCTCACGGGCTCAATCTATTGTGTGGTCATAGAAGATCTTGAGAAGTGACGTGAAGGAAAAATCCATGGCACTGGTGACAAGTAAGTCTTGATCTGAAGCTCCAGTGCCTACCTGCTTCAAGAAACCACCGCTGGCCTAGGGGACCCGCGCTGCACGCATTGTTGCCTGTAGGGTGCCGCGCGCTCTTGCCGTTAGGGAGCCACACGTGATGCTCCTCTGCTACCGATGGGGAGCCAGACGCGGATGCGCCGCCACTGTTGGAGGGTCGCGCGGGTGCTCCCATGGGGTCACCTTGTGGACTGTAGTAGCGCGCGGGGTGTGGTGCAGGCGGCATGCGCCTAAGCAATGTGGCAGCGGCGGGCGAGACAGGGAGAGGAGAGGATGAGGACTGGGGGGCAGTTAAGTTTTCTGCTGCTTATATATGTATGTTCGACTTGGGCTTTGATGGGCCGAGTAAATAGGCTGTATAGGCTTTGAGAAACGGGGACACACGGAAACGGGGACGGGGGACAGTCTACCAGACCCGGCCCCGTTAGACCCGACGGGGGAAGATTTCCTACCATTTAAATCCCCGTGGGGGGTTAATTGATCCCATCCCCATCCCCTAATAGGGGAATTCCCCGCGGGGAATCGGGGATCGGGGCCCCATTGCCATCTTTAATCCCATCCCCATCTCCTGACTCCAACCGCGGCGCCGCTCCGCTTCGAGCTTTAGACGCTCGCCTACACTCCGTCCTGCCACCACCGCTTCCCTCTCCTTCCTCCCCTCCGAGGTTCCTCTTCCACCCCACCCATCCGCTCATCTGGATGGCACAGCGGCAGTAGAAGCTCCTCCTCCCCCTCTGGCGCTCCCTCCTGGCTGCCCGCCCGCGTATCTGGATGGCACCGCGGCGGCGGAAGCTCCTCCTTCCCCTTCGGCGCTCCCTCCTGGCTGCCCGCCCACGCATCTGGATGACGCCGTGGCTGCAGAAGTTCCTTCCTCCCCTCCGGCGCTCCCCTCCACTCCCCCCTCTGGCGTCGCAGCTGCAAAAGCTCCTTTCTTCCCTCCCCTCCCCTCCCCTCCGGTGCTCCCCTCCTCTATGGGTCGGCACGGGCACATCGTGCCTTCCGTGCCGGCACGGCATGCCTAATGTCACCTAGGGCCGTGCTTGGGCTCGAGTCTTGGCACGGCACGGGGCTCGACACGGCACGACTAGACAGTCGTGCCTATCGTGCCCGTGCCTTAGCGTGCCGTGCCCGTGCCGTGTCGTGCCGGGCGGCACGAATGGCCATGTAGATTCACAAGTGATATGTTTAGGCCTGGCTATGTTATAAATATGACTTGGATACTGTTCTTGCAAAGTTGTGTTTCCATGCCATTTGTCCTTATAGAATCTCACTTGTGATTCATCCTTTACCACAAATGATCCATAGCGAAGAAAATCACGCTTGACTACACATATGAATATAGAGATTGCTTCTACGCATGGCATTTCCGATTTCCATGCCATTGCTAGCTCTTGCTTGTAGTGCAACACGCATAGGTCCTTCCGGCGCTTGAGTTCTCACCTCTAGACTCTAGTCAGTCTATGGTTGCCGGCTTGTTCGGCTTGTTTTTTTAGCCGAAACAGTATTTTTCTCTCACAACAATTCAGACGGAACAGTGTTTTTAGTCAGTTTTAGCCAATTTCAGCCAGCCGAATGGGGCCGACTGCACATCGGGTTAATCAACTTCAATTGTTGCCACCATGGGACCATGGTAGTGTGTAACTGTTTATTATGAGAACGAAAAGCTGAAACGTGGTTCCATTTTGGCGTGCACAATGTAAGGCGCAAGCTCGCACAAGTCTAACAAGGACTAGACCCTAAACAACGAAATCAGACGAACACCGAGAGTCCGAGACCATGTTTTGTCCGGTGTCAATTAAATGCACCGGTTAGGCAATCATCTTTCCTAGAGTACACATGGCACACTGGCACGTCTTCTTATCGCGCCGGTCCAAACATAGCTCTTTAAAAATCTTTGCTTAATTATTTTCTTTGTTCACTCATGACATACCAAAAAAATATTTTGTATGTAATATTTTCACGACAAATTTCAAGAATTAGATAGCTGGTAGTATAATAAATACTAAAAAATTACATCATAGTGTTGTATATTTGCTTACGTGATATTTTTGTGTTGCGTCCGCCAAAGATACATGTCAAGTCGAGCAGCCATCGTGCCAAAGATACTAGACATGACACGGTCCTCATCATATTCGTGTCGTACAGGCACTAGCTAGTACAATGAGCATTAGTATTGGTGGTTCTAAACTTATTTTTACTGGCGCTTTTACCAATCGTCACTATGTTCATATCACCGAACACCTTTTGCGCATGAATTAAAACATCACCTAAACTTGAATCAAACAAACCACGTGTCGTCCCATCTTCTAGCAATAATATACTTGCATCAATTAGCTCACTAATAGCATCTCTCCCAACATCTCATACTTAATAATATATCAAAGAACACACGTATGCATTCCATGCCAATTCATCCAAACAAGCAACCACTTTACATATATGGACCAATCGTAAACAAGACAGTGACTTAATCAACACATATGGCAAGAGAAATATTGAATCAAGATGGGACACCAAGATTTACGTGAAAACCCCATTGCGGCGAAAAAACCACGGGCAACGGTGGGACGATTCCACTATGAGATGAAACAAATACAAGAGATGTGAGCCAACAAGTATGGGGAGGCTTCAAATCCCCCTCAAATCTTTCTATTTTAGTGGTGGATTTGGTATATCAAAATCGCTCCACTTCTCTTCGTAACCTTAGCTCTCAAGAACACAAAAACTGTGTTCTTTATCTATTCCCAAGTTGGGAAAGAAGGCTTACAAGGGCCATTTTCAGAATGCTCCCGAGGCTCCAGATTATCACAAACAGCTCCAATTTCATCATACAGTATGTATAGGCAATAGTTTACATAATAAAGAAGCTAACTGGCCTCCAAATAGTGAAATCAGAAGCTGCACATCATAATATTAATATATATTATATAAAAGATAAATTGTGAAAAAATACATCTCATAATAATGTATCTAGCTATGCTCATTTGATATCATAAATATTATCGTTCTTCTTTTCTATAAACTTGGTTAAAATTAGAATAATTTGACATTAAACAAATTCAGAATTATTCATATTTTAGGATGGAGTTAGCACTTTGTATTTGTATATGTTAGGGCTAGTTATTTAATTCTCGCCCAATACTGGCAATGCCATATTTCTTCTGCCATGACATGCCATGAGCCATCGACCTATCTATATATAAATCTTCGTTGTCGGATCCCTTTGCTTCGACGTACTAGGTCTAGCAGCAAAAAGCTGCGCGCCAGTATTGCCGTTGCTCTATCTTGGTTCTTTGTTCGCAAGTATGGCTGGCGCCGGTGGAGGAGGCGGAGACGCCGGCGATGGCTTCTACAGCGACTTCATGGTGCTACGGCCGGACAAAGGAGGGCTCTACGCCCTCTTCCACCTCATGTGGTCGTGCAAGGTGTCCGAGAACGCGGCCGTGGACTGCCCCGCCGGCACGGAGATGTCCGACTGGCGTAGGCGGTGGGCGGTGCTCGTCTCGCTGGTGGCGCAGGTGCTGATGCTGTGTGTGAAGAAGCCGACGGCCCTGATTGGGAGAGCGACGGAGTACTGGATGAACCTCGTCAACGAGAATGGCGGCGGCGTCCTCGTGCTCGTCCTCAGAGCGCTGCAAGGTACTTGCACTCTGTCACACCGTAGCTAAACGCCTGAACCCATCCAGCACTCTCACGTCTCAAGTATGGGATTCATAGACCCGGGGTCCCCAATAAATCCGCTTCTCTGTAAAAAATTCGGCTCAGCAGACGGCGTTGCGACGACGCGTGCCTCCCAGGCCGACCCAGATACATAATAACAGGCCAGGCGACGATCCGGTCCCTGACCGGAAGGCTTGCCCAAGCTGAGGACATAGTCCAACTCCGACCTCCTTTTTCGACCGGAGATACGCCGGATCTCTGCTTATGATTCTTCCCCGACCAACACGGTCGGGCCAACTAGAAACGACCGATCGGGGACGCCCGCTCAGTGAGGGCCTAGGGATCAGGCAAAACAGATGAGGTAAGACGCTCAAGTCAACCGCAATACCGAGGACCGTACCCTGCCATGCCCTGCGAACCTTCGGGATGGTGCCACTAGGCCATGCCAGACGGACACTATGCAACCTTCCAGACGTGTCAGAGTACAAAGAGTATTGTTGGTGCCGACGTTTGCCGTACCAGGCGAACATGGTAGAGCCTGCCACATGCGTCTGACATAAACAATATTGTGGACACCGACGATAGTCTCGTACCCGACAGCGTGGGCAACAAGACTAGGTAGTACACGTATCTATTCTCTCTTTCTCTGACTTATGAGGCCATCTTCTTCAACTATAAAAGGGGATGCGCTCTCTTCTCTCAAGAAGACCGTGCTCTCGGCTCTCGAAAGAAAAGAGGTTGGACATTCTCTCCGGCTCTAGGCAAAAAGAGAATCCGAATAGCTCAATAGCTCTAGAACTCTAAAGCTACACAGAGCATACGCTCCAATACTTAGCACACATTAGAGCCCCCGTCACTCTCGGCCCTTCGGTTCAGAGTCCGACCGGGCCTTTAACACCCCCTTCTTATTCCTACTCGTTTGTAACCCCACAGTAAACTTCAAGCACCTACGCTCAGGATTAAAGTTACCAACCGACTGAAACTGAACGTAGGGCACGTTGCCTGAACCAGTATAAATCCTATGTCATTGAGTGCTAGGCCACATCCGATCACAACGCACGGTAAAACTACAAATATTTACTTGTTGGTCACTTTTCGCACCGACAGTTGGCACCGTCCGTGGGGAGGACGCCGTTGCGTTCACGCTTTTGGTCATCGGATGTCCCACCTTTCCACCATCTTCGGCATGGCGGGCTCGAGCGATACGATTCGCTTCAGCTCACTGGAGTTTCCTGCGCTCCCACCTGTTGGGATGTGGGTTCCTCCCATCTTTCAGCCGCTCCAGCCTTTCCTCTTCGGGAGTCTGGACTTTGTCGCCGATTGGCTCGGCGTATTGCGGCTCCACGAAGAGGCGCTCGTCTCGGCGTCCACTGGAGGAGGAGCGCCCTCCACCGGCCCTGGGCCACTCGACGACCTCAACGTCGAGACACCCGCGCTTCGCTTCGAGCCCATGCTAGGTTTAAACTCCACGGTGAGCAACGTACATGTTGTTCTTTGCTCACTGTTTAATATCTTCCGCCGACTCTCCGAAGGGACCTCGTTATCCCCACCGCGACCGCCGTGCGACCAGTTCCCCTACGGCTTCGCGTCCCCCGCGGACGCGTACGTGCGGGGGCTCCGAAGAATGCTGACGCCGCCTCCTCTCACATCCAAATTCATGGGGATGGCGGGCTACGCTCCCGCCTCCTTTCACGACCTTCTCCAGCTGGACGACGGGCGTACTGGTGCTCGGTCCCAACCCGAACACTTCAGAGACAACCACCTGCGCGACGTTGCGAATCGGGTCGAGCTCTTCCTTGAGAGTGCGTCGCTCCTCAAAGGACTGGGCTAGCGCCTCCACGCCCCGACCGACAGTTGCTTTGGCCGTCTCTAGCTCTTGCTCCAGAGAGCCGATCTTTCCACCCAGTTCTGGAAAAAGACGACAAATTCAGAAGCAAAGGAAAGAAAAAATCAAGGCATCAACCGAAGGCGGAACAGATACATACCAAGACGGGCGCTTTCAAGAATGGAGAGCCCTTCCTCTTACCGGGTCATCCTCTCGAGCAGTCGAGCGTTCGACTTCTCTGCCCCGAGCATCTGCCCCCAGAGCGCAATCACTTCTTGTTTAGCGTCCGATCGGGCCTTCCGCTCCGCCTCTAGAGCCTCCAAGGACTTCTGAAGTGCCGCCTCAGTCTCCGCCAAGTGGACCTTCGCCGCGTCGAGTTCCTACTCGGTAGCACTCGCTCACTCGACCGCACGCAGTTCCACCGCCCGTGCTCCTGTCGCCTTGACCGCCCGGTCTTGGGACTCACGGCGGGTGGACTCCAGCTGGTGCCTGAGCTCGTCGACCCGTCGCGACGCCGTTGCTTCCTGGTCCATCTGACCGTGTTCCTCCCGAAGAAATCAGGACTTATGGATCGACATCATCTCCAGATCATCTAAGACAAGAAGCAGGCATACTGAGACAACCATTGAAAGGCCAAAGAGTCAAGGACAACACCAAAAACGCAGAGAGCTTACCTCTGCAACATGTGGAAGGTCGACTTTCACGGCATGATGGACGACCTCAACCCTCTCCAAAGCCTCTTTGAGCCTCGCCTTGGTAAGGGCGAGGTCAGACTCCATCGATAGTCCTCTCTCCCCGAGCAGGTGCCACAGCTTCACCTCCTCCTCATCATGAAGGACGAATCGGGCCTTTCCTGGCTCTCCAGGGCAAGGCTACACCAGCCTACAGTTCGCCCCTGACCCACTAGAAGATCCGGCCACTGCAGTATCTTGTGACGGCCGAATCATCACCAGCTCCTAGGACAGCGGGATGGCCGGCGGCTCCACCCCGGTGTCTTCCTCGCCGGAGAGGGGGATCTCCATTGTTAGGGCTCCATGGCCCGCCGGTGGATGCACTACCTCTAGTCTGGCCGTGGTTCCTCCAGACCCCTCCAGCTCTGACCAAGCGGGCGAACCATGCGGTCCCCCGCCGGGCGAGGCAGGGAGCCCAGTTTCCTTCTTCTCCTCTGTAGCCATTGGGGGAGGGACCGCGAGAGTCACCTCCGACCCGACCTCTGCCGTCACTATGGGGATCATCGCCATCACCGCCGCTGCCGCTGCCGCCGTGCTCGCAACCGGCCGGGAAGACACAACCCCTAGTAAGGAAGGTCGCACCGTCGCCAGCCTACTTCCTCCGCCACTCGTCGTGACCCTCTGTAGGCTGGGCCTCCACTCTTCTAGTATGGGAGGTGGGGAGATTCCCAGTCCCATCGGCCCCTGGCTGCTATCAAACAAGAGTGGGTCAGTCACACTCAAACCCGCGCCCCCTCGTATCGGCCGAGGAAGGAGCCGACCCGGATGGTCCCCAATCGATCCACGAACGGCCACGACTGCCAGCTTGTGGCGAAACCACCGGAGCAACTGGCGGGGCATCTCTATGTTGGGGGTCAAGCAAACGCAGTGACCCCGATGACGTAGGGGAACGATCACGTCCCCCTGATCGATCGGCGAGGTCCACCACACTCGGAGCAGGGGGGCCACGAAGCCGACAATGCCTCCAAAGGGCGCGGCGACCACGCCAGCTTTGCCTCTCATTCAAGGGCGGTGTTTTCGCTCGTGGCGCGCTTCCTTGACTCAGGAACAAGGCCGCGCGTCTCCGTATCACGCCCGCCACCGACAGATGCGATCGTGGGCTCACGGTGCTCCGCTGAGGTCACAACAGCGCCCCTGTCTCCTTTGTCCTCAGAGGCAATCGCGTCGCCACCCATCTCTATGGGCTCCCCAAACTCGAGCTCTGCCTCCATGTCGCTCCGACTCTCGCTCGCCCGGACCCTCCGGCTGATCTCCTTCTCCTTTTTGAACCTCCTTCAGGCCTTCTCAGCTTTCTTCTTCTTATTGGCAAGCGTCGCCTCCCTCTGGGCAGCTTGCCGAGCTATGCCCTTCGGCCCCCTTAGAAGATGTGGCCGGGATTTATAGCCTGCGAGTTCCTTCGAAACGAGCAACTCAAAATCAATCACAAACATAAAAAAACAAGGAGGAAAAGGTCACAGGAAAAGGAGGCATACCAGATTGGACAGCTTCGCAGTGTGAAGAGGTCCGGGCGTCCCTTTGAGGGAGTCTTTATCCCTCAGTTGTAGCACCCGATCGAGTCGACTCCAGACTTCATCCTTCGGCAACTCCTCCGGCGACGCGCGGTCGGGATCCATCGGGACGGAGTACTCCCACATCGGCCGCCTTCTCTCCACCAATGGGGCGACCCGGCGATGGAAGAAGGTATGGAAGACCCACAACCCGTCAAGGCCATGCTGCACAAGCCTCTGAAGCTCCTTCTTGATAACCTCTAATTTGTTCTGCCGACCGGCAGGACCCCATGACTAGCTCTCCTTCCTCTTTGGCCTTCTTTCGGTAAACGTCAGGAATGGTGCCTCCGCCATGTTCCTGATGTAGAACCACTCGCCGTGCCACCACTCGGTTGGAGTCACAGGGGGAGTACGCAAGGTAGGGGCTGACGGCTTCAGCTTCTTCTGCAAGGCAAACCCCCAACCGGTGTGATTCTGGGCGGCTTCCCCTCGGATAGGGCTCGCCCACTGAAGATCCGCCGGAAGAGGTCCACGTGTAGCTCCATCTTGAGGAAGGCCTCACAGATGGTGATGAAGCCAGAGATGTGCAGCACCCCAGTAGGGTTGAGGTGCGGCAACTCCAGACCACACTCGTTGAGGAGCCCGTGCAGGAACCAGTGCGTGGGATACCCGAGCCCGTGCTCGTGGAAGGCGAGGAAGGATACGACCTCGTCGGCCTGGGGGTACGGAACAACCTCCCTCGCACGCAGGAGCCCTCCAATGCACCACCTCCTTCGACGAGAGTAGCCCCTTCTCGGCGAAGGTGGCCAGCACCTCTTCATCCACGTAGGAAGGCCTCCAGTTTGACATCGCACCTTGGATTTACTGACAAATCTATGAGTTTTTTTCCTCCCTCGCTTTACCCTCCTCTCTCCTAGAAACCGCCGCAGCGCACGAACGGGTTTGGCGAAAAAGGGGAAGAAGAAGAGGCAGCAGTTGGAGAAAGGCGAAACAATGGGAGGAAAACCCTCTCCCTTCCACCTATTTAATGAGGGAAGGTGTGCGGCGGGACGTGGCCCCTAGCTGATGGGACGTGCCCTACCCAGCGAAACATCGCCTGGTTAACGGGACGTGGCCTGGGTAGGGCCCACCACTACCTCAATCTGAGCGCATGAAACAAGGCGCAACCACACACAAACGACTCTCCGCCTTCCTAGGTAGGGTTTGGAAGGGCCCACCAACGGAATCTTCGTCGAAGAGAGGCCAACAGGTCACCTGAGTTGATCTGACGGCTCGAGCGGCTGCCAAGAGACAGGTAAGGAGCAATGGGATGCCCCATACGGGCTATGTCAATTCCGTCATGAACGACGGGCCCGGATTCCATTCGGACATATTCGATAAGAGCTCCCCAAACCCGTCACTCGAGCCATCGAGGTAACTTTACCAAAACCCCTTTTTGTTTCCTAGTGCATGATCATTCATTCATCCATTCTCATGCATACATTCATCCCATACATCCAAGCATCGCATATGCAATTGTTCCATCACAAATGCTTCGCGTTGCGTCATGAAGCGGTAATCGCCTCATTCGATATGAGCGACGACCGACCGGGGTTCGAAGGCTGGCTCGCGAAGGGCTCAAAGCCGCCTCACGTCAAACAGAGCCAGGGGAGAAAACGCAGATGAGCCCCAGCGGCCCTCGTCCGATCCGCTCTGAAGCGGACAGGGTCATCTCAACCTTCTCGTTCGATCCTGACCTTGAGCCATGCCCACAGAATCTCTATCGAGGGGAGGCCAGCGGGCCACCTGAGTCGATCTCTGGAATGGCTTGGGCATCTGCTGGGAGGCGGGTTAAGGAGCAGTGGAATGCCACATGAGGGCTATGTCTACCCCGTTACGAACGACAGACCCGGATTCCACTCGAACGTACCCGTTATTAAGCTCACTGAGCGCGTCGCTCGAGCCATCGAGGCAAGGGACGTTAGCTCAACCCCTTCGGTTGCGGAAACCGCAGATGGGGTAACGCACGAAACTAGACCGACCCCTCGACTGCGCCCCGACACCTTGGGTAGGCGCTCCGCCTCACCCGACCCCTCGGCCGCGCTCGACGCTTGGGTTAGCCCGACACTTGGGTTGGCGCTCCGCCTCGTCCGACCTCTCGGCCGTGCCTGACACTTGGGTTGGCGCTCTGCCTCATCCGACCCCTTGGCCACGCCCGACATTTGGGTTGCGCTCCACCTCGCCCGATCCCTCGGCTGCGCCCGACGCTTGGATTGGCTCCCCGTCACCTGGGGTAGGCGTTCCGCCTCGCCCGACCCCTCGGCCGCGCCCGACACCTCGAGTTAACGCTCCGCCTGGCCCGACACCTCGGCCGCGCCCAACGCTTGGGTTGGCGCTCCGTCTCGTTCGACGGCGACCCACGATCTTACACCCACCGGGCGCACTCGTGAAACGAGTGTAAACAGCCCCTTCACGACTCCACAGAAGTCCCAAAAGGGCTCGGGGGCTCCTGTCGGGTTTATAAACCCGAGGTCCCCAATGGACCCGCTTCCCTACAAAAAACTCGGCCCAGCAGACGGTGTTGCGACGACGCGTGCCTCCTGGGCCAGCCCAGATACATAATTATAGGCTAGGGCGACGATTCGGTCCCCGACCAGAAGGCCTGGCCAAGGTGAGGACACAGTCCAACTCCGACCTCCTTTTTCGACCGGGGATACGCCGGACCTCTGCTCATGATTCTTCCCCGACCGACACGGTCGGGGCCAACTGGGAACGATCGATCGGGGACGCCCGCTCAGTGAGGGCCCAGGGATCAGGCAAAGCAGATAAGGTAAGGCGTTCAAGTCAACCGTAATACCGAAAACTGTACCCTGCCATGCCCTGCACACCTTCGGGACGGTGCCACTAGGCCATGGCATACGGGCACTATGCAACCTTCAAAGCATGTCAGAGTACAAACAGTATTGTAGGCGCCGACGTATGCTGTACCAGGCGAACACGGTAGAGCCTGCCACATGCGTCTGACATAAACAGTATTGTGGGCGTCGACGATCGTCTCGTACCCGACAGCGTGGGCAACAAGACTAGGTAGCACACGTATTCATTCTATCTTTCTCTAACTTGTAAGGCCATACACTTCAACTATAAAAGGGGATGCACTCTCTCCTCTCAAGAAGACCGTGCTCTCGGCTCTCGAAAGAAAAGAGGTTGGATATTCTCTCCGGCTCTTGGCAAAAAGAGAATCTGAATAGCTCAATAGCTCTAGAACTCTAAAGCTACACAAAGCCTACGCTTCAATACTTAGCACACGTTAGAGCCCCCGTCACTCTCGGCCCTTCGGTTCAGAGTCCGACCGGGCCTTTAACATCCCCTTCTTATTCCTACTCGTTTGTAACCCCACAGCAAACTTCGAGCACCTGGACTCAGGAATAAAGTCACCGACCGACTGAAACTGGACGTAGGGCATGTTGCCTGAACCAGTATAAATCCTGTGTCATTAAGTGATAGGCCATATCCGATCACAACGTACGGCGAAACTACAGATATTTACTTGTTGGTCACTTTTTGCACCGACAACATTCATCTCCAATTCTGCTATAGACGACCTAAAGTACAACACATTACACATCTGCACAACCGTGTGGCAACCATGGCAACTTACATAGTTGAAATCACTTGATAATGGCGCACTTAATTCAGGTCTTAGATTATCCCCTATCAGTTCATGGACTTACCTGTTTCGTTGACATAGATATGAAGGTCCTATCAATGGTACAATCAACACAATGGCATTTATGGCCCTATAGGTTCCACCTACTACCTACAGGAATTCTTCTATTCGTTTCTGATCACACGCATGAACAGTCGTCTTCATAATGTGAAGAGTTGTAGTGTTGTACTCCAACGTCCAACCTATAGGTACTATTCATAATGTGAGTAGTAGCTTACTAACTTGACAACTTTTGTATATTCATCTATTGCAATTTTAAGAAGGCATCGGAGCATGTATCAATCCAAGTTAGTCATGTCAGTGGATCTGTAACTTTTACGCTAACTTCAGCGTTTCAGGAAACTTGTGGTCCTTTTAATAGTCATCTGGATTCTATAGTAGCGCAAGAAAGCACTCTATCTAATCTCTTTCGTTTCTGAATACTACTACGTCAGGCTTTTAGGTTTGATAATATTTGGGGATTAGGAAGGGGCAGACAACCCAAGTTCAAAAGCTCACATGAATTTCACTTTACAGACAGGGATTCAAATGCATGTTTCCGTACTTAGCACAAAATTTTATATGTTTCCCTTGCCCATCAGTGCGTTAAGTAACTAAGTTGAATGCTTTCATTTGCTTGCTGCCGAGGACAGTGGCGGAGCCTCGTGGAGGCCAAGCTGGGCATCGCCCCGAAAAATATTTAACTAAGAACACAGGCAGTCTGTAGTAGCTAGAAGTTAGAGGCAAGATGAATTAGCCCCTCCTTTGTTTGATGCCACGCTCCGCCGCTGGCCGAGGACAATTGCTAATCAGTTCACTATCTGAGAGAACAAATTAACAATTTCCCTAGTATCACATATAGAGTTGCGTGTTAATGCGTTTTAAAATCTGTGTTAAGATATAGGCCTGCCATGTCCTTATCTATGTCTAGATTGAGACCTGAAGACTTTTCACAGATTATTCTGAGTATGCTAACTGCTCATCTTAACCTCTTCTGCGTTTATTTTCCTATTGTATACCAATTACCAAAACATAGTCTTGAAGTATATGTGAATTGTCCCCTTTTCCCATCAGTTTAAACAGTCTTGAAGAACCCAATACAGAATCTATATTACTAATAATAATGCAATAGCAATACTCCCTTAGTCCCTTACTCCCTTTGCAGGAAATAGCGAAGGAATATATTGAAATGCTGACTACGATGTCTAACCTTTGCAGGAAAGCTGAAATTTCCAGACAGGGCTTCTCCCAACTAACGATCCTGCGTAGGACTACTCGACATGAGAGTTGAACTAGACAAGGAAATTAAGCAAGGGATAACAACTACCACGCTGTTCTATCGATCATGGCTGCAAAGCTAGCATACGAGAATGAGCTCGTCATCAGAAATGTCGTCGAGAAACATTGGCAGGTCAAACCTCAATTCATCGCCTCTGAATCCAAAGTCCTACAGATCAAAGAGAAGAAGTTTTCTGACCAAGTTTTATTTTTTTGTGTTTCTTCAGATGAAATTATTGGCGTGCTACAACTGCTGGAATGGTAAGAACCATGGATCAACAACACCAGTGTCTAGCTAGTAGCAAAATGCATGCATGCATGTCAGCTTCTTAACCTCCTTCAGATTTCCAAGAGGACTACACGACCCAGGCGTTTCTGGTCGCCGACAAGGCGCCTGACGCGAGCCTCGCCGTGGTGGCGTTCAGCGGCACGAGGCCGTTCGACATGGAGCAGTGGTGCACGGACGTGGACTTCTCGTGGTACGAGTTCCCCGGCGTGGGCAAGATCCACGGCGGCTTCTGTCAGCACCTGGCTCTGATAGGCCACCAGAAGAACGGGCCAGGCCCCAGCGAGCAAGGAAGCCCAACAGCAAGAATACATGCTCTGGGTGGACGGTGATGGAGTAGTATAAGTACCTGATAGGAAGAGGGGAAAGGGACCGAACCTGAATCCAGTTAAACATATTACATTTCTGTTAAGCACTCTTCGGTATTAAAAGTACTCTACCGTATATTCGCATCCTGTTCTTCCTTTTCGCATTGAACTTCTTTCCTCCTTCCCAAGCAGGTCTCCGTTGCTAACAATTTGGTATCGGACAAAGCCACAATTCCACAAATCCGCCGGCCGTCGTCGAGCTGGAACCCCACGAGATCCACCACAACCATTTCACACGTTTCCAACGAACCCTAGGGGCCATGGATCCAAACCTCAAGTTGATTCTCGAGGAGATTAAGAAGTCCAAGGAGGATTTCAATCGCCGGTTCGACGAAGCACAACGAGCAGTGGACGCGTCGCTTCTTCGACCTCGACAGCGCCCGCTCCACCTGCGCCGCCGCGGTGGACAAGCGCTTCAACGCCTTCGAGTCCGCCTACAACGACATCGGCAAACACGTCGCCAACCTAGAGCGCGCTGACCGCGTCACCGCCTTGGAGGTGGCGGCCACAGATCTGGATACCTGGCGCCCTAGGTGGAGGGCCTCATCGACGATCTGAAGCTCGAAGTGAAGAAGCTGTCCACTGGGCATCAACGTAAGGTGTTCGACGCCCATCGTAGTGGCTTCACACCGGTCCGTCCCCTTCCTCCGCGGCCGCTCGAGCTCCGGTCGGCACCAACAATGAAACACCCAAGGGGCACGGCGAAGCACCGTCTCACCGGGATGTTGGGTTTGGGTCCGTGACGACCTGGACCAATGTCCCGGTTACGGGTAAGAACCCTGACCCTCCTCCTGTTCCTCAATTTCAGCCCCAAGCTTATCCGCCACCGTCGCCGCGTCCTCCTCCACCCTTGCCATATCGCCCACCGCCCCCAATTACCATCCCTCCCGTGTTAATAAGAGGAGATCCTTCCATGTTTCAATTGTTACCACCAACCCCAACAATCCTAATTAGCATATAGCTTTTGCCTACCCAAGCTCCCATTCAACAATTTGATATAAATATTTTAATTAGTTAAATAAATATATAATTATTTCAAAATGTAAAACATCGATCCTTTAGATTTGTTTTAGATTATTAGCCTCCATAAAATAGAAATAAATATGTATTCGCTTGTTGGTACGAATCCATAGATAACACCCCAGCCTTAATAAAATAGCTAATGTACTTTTGCCTTAATTATAAGTAGCTAATGCACGGTAGTTAAATAGCTAAAGCAATCAAATCAGTCATTAGAGTAGTAGGCAAAGAAGGAGCAGGAGCCAGGCGACCGTTTTTCTATGCCTGGAGATACTTGGGGCAGGCAACCCACTATGTCTGCAACCAAACAAGGGCGATCCAATCTCCGTCAAGGCTTCGCTAGGGAAAAACACAGGCGAGACATTTTTCTCCCAGGTTCAATCCAAACATGAACAACTTCGTGACGACCTGACCAATGTCCCAAACACACGCTTCCGAACTCCGACCCACGTCTCCAAGAACCCTGACCCTACCCCCTGTTCTCTCAATTTCAGCCCAATGAGCTTATCCGACCAACCGCGTCGGGGCCTCCACCCTTGCCATATCGCCCACCGCCACCAATTACCATCCCTCCCCGTCCACCGTTCCATCCTCCCATGTTTCAATCACCCACCACCAACCCCAACAATCCTACCCCAAACCCCACCGGTCGCCTACCCAAGCTCCCATTCAACAAATTCGATGGGCGCGCATCGCAAAACTCCTATACCGCCTTTGGCGTTCCAAAACCCCTGCATGCCGCTAGGTATCAACAATATATACACTGTCGCCATATCCTTCAAAAAACGATGGGTCCTCCCACATGCATCAGACATTAACATGTATGGGCGTCCAATTATCTTGAGGGCAAGACTTAGCATACGTACACGCTTGTTGGTAAGAATCCATTTATCTATAAAAGAGGATGCACCCTCCCAATAGCTCTCAATTCACTTACATTGATTCACCCTCTGAAGCTTTAGACACTTTAAAGCTGCACAAGCTCGAACACTTAGCACATAGCGATCTTGTATCCCCATCTTTCTCCCTTCCGCACACGGCTTGAGCTCATTCGTAAAATCACCGACCGACTTAAAAGCTCTTGCAGATATAACCCACGTGTCATTGAAACCACCACTGTTTGGTCACTTTCTACACCGATACCACCACTGTTACGAATATGTTAAGCGCTTCAGCAAACTCCGTGATCAACTCAAATCCTATTCTACTTCCACTGATCCCCTCTTTTACACCATGAGATTCATCTATGGCCTCCGCTCTGAACTCAAAGCTATTATTCTTGTTTCCCGGCCCAAAACCTTGGACGCTGCTATTGCTATGGCCTTGGTGCAGGAAGAGGTGGGCGGTACGCCATCTGCGCGTACTGCATTCCGCGGTGATTGGTCGTCCTCAAGCAAATTTATTCCCAAGACGACGTTGCCGCTACCCCTGCCGCCGCGCCACGACAAGCCGCAGGCCGCGCCAACCGCTACTGAGTCGTCGGCTGCTACTTCTGTCGACCCCAAGCTCGCTGCAGTTAAGGCCTATCGTCATGCACTAGGCCTCTGCTACAAATGCGCTGACAAGTGGAGCAAAGATCACAAGTGCGGCCCCCAAGTTCAGCTGCACATTGTCCAGGAACTGTGGGATTTGCTCCAGGAAGAAGAACCTGACGTCCAACAGGCCACTCCCACTGACACCGAGCAACAAGCGTTCCTGGCCATTTCACCGAGTGCACTGTCAGGTATTCCAGCTCTGGGCACAGTTCGCTTTACTGGATCGATTCAGGGTATTCCTGTGCACATGTTACTGGACTCAGGCAGTTCCACATCTTTTCTCAGTGAAGCAGTGGCAGCTCAACTTCATGATATGCAAGCACAGCCTAATACTGGCAGTGTCCGTATTGCTGGTGGTGGTCGCTTGTGTAGTGCTGCAACTTTACTCAATGTTCCGTGGAGTATTGGTACATATCAGTTTACCTCCAATATTCGAGTGTTACCTCTGTCTGCATTTGACATGATTATCGGCATGGACTGGCTGGAGTCCTTTAGCCCAATGCAAGTACACTGGAAGCATAAGTGGCTCACTATTCCATATGCTGCCAAACTGGTGACCCTGCAGGGAGAATTGGTTGATCCTCCAGTTGATCTCTTTTTGCAAGTCTGTGCTATGGACACGGAGCAACCTGAGTCCTCCTCTGATCAGCTTCCGGCGGCAGTTCAATGCTTGTTGGACCAATTCAGTGATTTATTTCAGTCTCCAGATTCACTTCCGCCATCGAGACCTTGCAACCACTTAATACCACTTGTTCCCGGCGCTCAACCATTCTATATTCGGCCTTATCAGTACCCACCGGTTCTAAAGGACGAGATCGAGCGATAGGTTCAGGAGATGTTGTCTCAGGGGTTGATACAACAGAGTCACAGTATGTTCTCCTCCCCAGTCCTTTTGGTTCGCAAGAAGGATCAGTCCTACAGGTTCTGTGTGGATTTTCGAAAACTAAACGCCCTGACAGTCAAGTCTAAGTACCCTGTTCCAGTGATTGACCAGCTGCTGGATGAATTACATGAAGCTAGTTGGTTCACTAAGCTGGATTTAAGGGTCGGCTTCCACCAGATATTGTTGCAGCATGGGGATAAGCATAAGACAGCGTTCCAAACTCACCTAGGACAGTATGAGTTCCGTGTCATGGCCTTTGGCCTCACTGGCGCTCCAGGAACATTTCAGGGCGCAATGAATTGTACCTTGGCGCCAGGGCTTTGCACAAGTTCGTCCTCGTCTTCTTCGACGATATCCTCATTTACAGCAAATCCTTGGAGGAACATATTGATCATCTCCGGCAAGTACTTACTTGGCTCAGGAATGACCATTGGAAGCTAAAGCTGTCTAAATGCTCTTTTGCACAGCGCTCTGTGGCCTACCTCGGCCATGTCCTCAGTGCAGCTGGAGTAGCCACAGATCCATCTAAGGTTCAAGCTATACTTGACTGGCCAGTTCCGACATCTATCCGTGCTCTCCGTGGGTTCCTTGGTCTTGCCGGATACTACCGAAAGTTCGTACGTAACTTCGGCATTATAGCACAGCCACTCACCGAGCTGCTCAAGAAGAATGCAACCTTTGTTTGGACACCAGCTCAGCAACAAGCCTTCACGGCCTTGCAGTCTGCTCTGAGTTCAGCACCGGTTCTGGCTTTACCTAACTCCAGCGCCCCTTTCACATTGACACTGACGCCAGCGATATCGGCATCGGCGCAGTCCTCCATCAAGATAACCACCCAATAGCCTTCATCAGCAAGACTCTCTGCCCTCGCAACCGTGGCCTGTCTGCGTATGAGAAGGAGTACCTTGCTGTACTTTTGGCGGTAGAACACTGGCACCACTATTTGATTCAAGGGGAGTTCTATATCCACACTGACCACCAAAGCTTGATTCACTTGAATGAACAGCGGTTAAATACAGTGTGGCAACAGAAGGTCTTCACTAAGTTGCTCGGGCTTAATTACAAGATTGTATACAAGAAGGGTGCAGACAATGTTGTGGCAGATGCCCTTTCTAGGAGAGATACAGAAGAACTTCTGCTGATAGTCTCTTCCTCCTCCCCACAGTGGCTATCTGATGTAGTTGACTCTAATCTAATGCCACAGCGCAGAACATTCTGACTCAACTGGCTGTCAACCCTGATGCCTTGCCTCATTATTCTCTGCTTAATGGAGTCATCAGGTACAAGCACCGTGTGTGGCTGGGACACAGCCCTCGACTGCAGTCTCAGGTACTGTCTGCGTTGCACAACAGTCTTTGGGTGGCCACTCCGGGGTGCCGGTTACATATCAAAAAATGAAACAGTTATTTTTCTGGCCTGGGATGCGAACTGCAACCACTGAATTCATCCGTGCTTGTGACACTTGCCAAAGAGCCAAACCTGATCGTTCCAAGTCGCCTGGCCTCCTTCAGCCGCTACCGATTCCAAAAGCCACCTGGGAAGTCATAAGTATGGACTTTGTCGAAGGCCTTCCTTCTTCAGGTTCGGCGAATGCTATTCTGGTCGTTGTGGACAAGCTCTCGAAGTTCGCACACTTCATTCCATTGAGGCATCCCTTCTCAGCGGCGTCAGTTGGGCGGCTGTTCATGGACCAAATCTAACGCCTCCACGGTATGCCACTAGCTATCATCTCTGATCGCGATCGTATATTCACCAGTGCATTTTGGAAGACCCTGTTCAGACTGACGGGTACCTCACTGCGTATGAGCACGGCTTATCACCCGCAAACGGATGGCTAGACCGAGCGCGTCAACCAATGCTTGGAGACGTACTTGCGCTGTTTCGCTCATGCCTGTCCCTCCAAATGGACCCAGTGGATCTCCCTTACCGAGTTATGGTATAATTCCTCCTTCCACTCCTCCCTGGGCAGATCTCCATTTGAAGTCTTATATGGGTTCACTCCTCGGCATTTTGGTTTGATGGCACCAAACGTTACTCCTGTTGCTGATCTCAACAACTGGCTGGATGACCGTGCGCTGATACTGTCACTGATTCAGCAACACTTAAGCCGCGCCCAGGCTAGGATGAAACGGCAGGCTGACAAGCACCGTTCGGAGCGATCATTTGCAGTTGGTGATTGGGTTTTCTTGAAGCTCCAACCATATGTGCAGTCTTCTCTTGCCCGGCGTGCTAACCAGAAATTGTCATTCCGTTTCTTTGGTCCTTACAAGATCATAGCTCGTATTGGACATGCTGCATACAAGCTGGACTTACCTGAGTCATCATCTATTCACCCAGTTTTCCATGTATCTCAGCTGAATAATAACCCTGTCACCGCTATTCTGCCAACCGCTCTTTCAGAGTTTCAGGTGCCTCGGAAGATCCTGGATCGTCGCTGGACTACCGGGGATTCCCCGGCCGAGGAAGTGCTGATACAATGGTCGCACATGCCGCCATCTCTGGCTACCTGGGAGTTGCTGGTGCCGCTCAAGCAGCGTTCCCAAAGAGCACCGGCCTGGGGACATGCCGGTTCTAAACAGGGGGGGTCGTCAGCACCTCTCCTGATGATACTCAGCACCCAGGCTCTGATAGGTCACCAGAAGAACGGGCCAGGCCCCAGCAAGCAAGGAAGCCCAACAGCAAGACAACAGGCCCTGAGTGGACGGTGTAGGAGTAGTATAAGTACCTGATAGGAAGAGGAGAGAGGGACCGAACCTTAATCCAGTTAAACATATTACATTTCTGTTAAGCACTCTTCAGTATTAAAAGTACTCTACCGTATATTCGCATCCTGTTCTTCCTTTTCGCGAACTTCTTTCCTCCTTCCCAAGCATGTCTCCGTTGCTAACAGCTTCATGAAGGCGCTCGGCCTGCAGAGGCACGGCGGCTGGCCGAAAGACGTCGTGGAGCAGGACCCCCGGAAGCCGTTCGCATACTACGCCATCCGCGAGGCGCTGCGGCGCTTCCTGTCCGAGAACGCCGACGCCAGGTTCGTCGTGGCGGGGCACAGCCTCGGCGGCGCGCTGGCCGTGCTGTTCCCGGCCGTGCTGGCGCTGCACCGGGAGGACGCCGTGCTGGCGCGGCTGCAAGGCGTGTACACGTTCGGCCAGCCTCGCGTCGGGGAGGTTCATCATGGACGCGTGCCTCGGCAAGCCCAGCAGGTACTTCAGGTTCGTCTACTGCAACGACATCGTGCCCAGGGCGCCGTACGACGACTCCGCGCTTCAGTTCAAGCACTTCGGAACCTGCCTCTACTTCAACAGCCTCTACACAGGACAGGTCGGGTCTAACACCGTTGTGTTTACTGGTTCACTAACCTCCTATAGATGCTTATACTTGAACATAAAATTGAATTGGTAAAAAAAATGTGTGTGTATATTCACATATGCTTGCCACGATTAATTCATTTCTCGAAAATATAGAGGTATATCCGATCCATATAGAGAAGAATCCATACAATTGGGCAACAGAATTGTCCACGATTAATTCATTTTCCGACTCGAAAAGTATCGACCGTATCCGATATTCAACATCGGTATCCGTATCCGATAATCAAATCGCATATTTAGATGAATCCAATCGAATCCATATCATGGTTGACAATATCCGTATTCGAATCCGGGCAAATATAAAAACAAATGTAATATCGAATTGATATCCGTTTCCCGAGGCCATACTTCCAAGGCAAGAAAAATGAAGTTTGCAAGCAAGAGGTTTATCATGCAATGCAAAGAAGGGAAGCTCCTTGTGGGCACCATACATCCATGATTCCTGTAAGACTCCAAACCTAGAGCCCCCACCCTAGTCGTGGTAGTAGAGAAGAGAGAATAGGGAGTAAAGAATCCAGGAATGCTAGTGGTGTTAGGGCCTTGTTTAGATTCCAAATTTTTTCACTCTCTCTCCATCATATCGAATCTTTAGACACATGTATAGAGTATTAAATGTAGATAAAAAGAATAACTAATTATACAGTTTGATTATAAATTACGAAACGAATATTTTGAGCCTAGTTAGACCATGATTGGACAATAATTGTCAAATACAAACGAAAGGTTAGGCAACTGAACTGACTACGCCTTTGTGCGGTTGTGCCGTTGAATGGAAAGCAGGTGATGCAAGAGGAGTACTTCTCGGTGCTGACGGTGGCGCCCAAGGTCGTGAACGCGGCATGGGAGCTCCTCCGGAGCTTCCTCATCGGCTACGTTGCCGGGCCGGAGTACGCAGAGGGGTGGCTGATGCGGCTCGCCAGGGTCGCCGACTCGTGCTGCCGGGGCTACCCCCGCACTCGCCGCGAGATTACGTAAACTCCGCCAGGCTCGGAGTCACAGTACAGGACCATTCTAGACGGCTAGAAGGAACTGAACATGGTTAGCTCCCTGTCGATTGAGCCATGGATTGTGGGTGCTTACCCACACCCACCCACCTGCGTACAATGACTTTATGAAAATTGACCCGTACTAACATAAATCGAATAAAAAGGTTTGTGCACTGGCTGTAAAATAAACCATTGGCACAAACCGATGCCGTCACTCATAAGTATAGCGTTCTCGTGCAATCTTATGATGTTCTACGAGATCCTATATCATATGATTCAGACACATTCCCATGGCTTGAAAACTGCGATTTACATTCAAACGATTACATCCATCATGTGGACCACAAATTCTATTCTTCCGTTCCAATGTTTCTAAATGAACAAAAGTTATTACACCCACAGCATTACTCGAATGGAAGAACAGAATTAACAAATAATTGGTACCGTAAGCCATTTACCTCATAGCTGTCGGTCAAGGATAGGCAATTGCGATAACTGGTGCTGGTTAACCAGCAGGCTCCTCCAACATCATCAACCAGGTTAGCAAGCTCTGTTTATTGCAGAAGCTGTTTGTTGCAAAAGAATGCTGCAAGCTTCAAAAATTTAACTGCAGTCGAAAATGTTCAGGGTAGAATCCTGGAGAAAAATTTCAACCACCAAGAAAATAGGAACCAGCAGAAAGGCTACTTGAAATATACTCAGCGGCACAAAATTCATGCAGTAAGCCTTGTGGTGATTAACTGCACCTATAGTTTTTCTACAGGGGCATATAAGTGTATGTAGTTACCATCAACACAGCAAATAGTCTCTCTAGTCCGTATGGGCAGAGAGAAATCTTCCGAGCTATTGTTGTCAAGACAGTAGCGATAACCAAGGATCTGTGTCAGCTCTAATGTTACATAAGCAGTTCTCTCAGTGCCAGGAAAGGATTTCTCCAGAGGGCAATCAATAGTCTACAAGTAACTGGAAGAGCAATCAGCACCTCTCCAATAAATAGTCTGCCTTCGGTCTCTTCCCCTAACCGATCTAGTAAGCATAGTTCCACTAACAGGTTTGCAAAGACCAACATCGATCACTGAAGTAACTTTTCTTTTCTCGTGCTCCTCATCAAAATGCATGTCAAACAGCATAGCCAGGCACATAACTTGGTGAGTCAATATATAATCATCATATGATGGAGGTAGGCTTCGAAGGATGTGAAGATTTACCTGCACAGCATGATAGTGAGCTTAGAAGCTACCCTCAGAAATGCACTAAATAAAACATGCTACACAATATGTTATCACAAACCTCAGCTTCCATTGCACGAAGATCATTGTGCCACTTTAAAGTTTCAGACTTTTCTGAGAGCAAACGTAATCTGAAAAGGGGAAGTCTAAGAGGATACTCTATACTTATCTTAACCTGTGATTGAAGTCACAATGTCAGAAGCAAGAGCATGGAGAGATGCATGAAGGCTTAGAACAAATAGCGATGGCATAGTTTACCTTGGCTTCCAGCATGACTTTTGGACCATTCTTCATAGTTTTACTCAAGACCATGGTAAACTCCTTGGAAGCATAATCCTCCCAGGATCTGTCTATAATCGGGCTAGCTTTCTCAGTTTCATCAAGAATACAGGTCGAGTCCTCCAACTCGTTGTCACTATACATCAAGAGATCAAGATCATCCTCGGTTCTACCAAAACTTTGTGAGATGCTTAGCTTAGATGGTGTTGCACTCTTTGATATCAGGGATAAGCCTCTAGAATGGCTCCGAATCTCAGGTGACACCTCAGGGTGCAAAATTGTAGAACCATTTGGCTCATTCTCAGCAGGAATCACAACTGGAAGCTCCCCATCCTCCCTGGTACCCTCAGTTTCTTCCCAGTTCGTTACAGATCTCTCTACATCACTGTCAACATTGCTTGCAGACCCACTTATCATCAAAATAGAACGAGACGATGGCTCAGGAAAAGAACTTGTCAATGACCAACTATGTAGACTGCACAGTGGGTTGCGTGATGCCCATGGTGCATTCTTATGTTCTATTCGAGGCCACTTCAGCTTTGTCAAATAATCAAGTTGCCACCTGTAATCAAAGAGACTCGAAAACTTCAAAGGGATGCTACCAATCAAACAAGCAATGTATATAACAGTCATGAATAACATTAGAATAAAGGTCGTCACTAATTAGCTTAGAATCAATATGTAGAGAACATATGAAGAAGCTATAAATGGGACGTTTCACAATTTCTGCCTGTTAAATGATTCATAGTATTGCCATAACACAGAATGACATGTGCAATGAAGCAAAAGCATCATTAGCTAAAATCGTCAGTCAAATTACACTGTCACTCCTAGGCTAATCTACCATCCAATTTTTTTCATCAATGTCCCAAACAGCAAAAAACATAGACCATGACTCACATAAGAGCCATCTGGGCAACTTTCCGCAAGCGGATTCTCTGCAAAATAGCCTGTGCACGGTTCTGCTGACGGTATAGAGCAAGCCCAGATGACAAATCAGCACTGCTTAATGCTCTGCTAGAATCATCCCCAACAGATGGAGGCACTTCAGGCAAAAAGTCGATACCACCTAAATGCTGTGCCCACTTGTATGGCCTTGAATCCTTGTCGCTGAAGTTTGGAACCTCCCCAGCGTAAATCTTAGCCATCTGAGAAAATTGACAAGTCACTATTTCAGCTGTCGTGAATGAGAAGGCCCCAAGAAAATTCTAGATACATGTCGTAACAAAACATTTCACTGCTAAAATCGCATTAAATGCCTGTGAGGCAGACATAAACCAAAAATAGGTAGGTACATAACAAACACCAAACTCCGCCTATGGTGGGGCGCCTTTGGTGTCCCAGCATAACAGGTCCCAAGCCCTGGTAAAGGAGGAGGGTTGTCTTAGGCGCGGCGAGCCAATGTAAAAACTTAGCCACTTTAATGGAGATGAAACCCAAAAGAATCATGTTGGGGTGTAACCCTCTTAGCGACGCGCCATGTCGGAACCCAGGTATGGTGTTAAATGAGCAAGGGCCGGGTCGTCACCCCCGTGACGCGCCGTGTCGCGATCTGGACACGGTGAAGTGAGCAAGGATCGGGTCGTCGCATCCTTAGTGGTGCACCACATTGGCGCCCGGGTGTGGTGCAAAATGAGCAAGGGTCTTCACACCTACCTCAGCGGGTGCGAAGGGTAAGGAAGCTAGTCGAGCCAACTAGGATCCGTTTAGGTAGCTGGAATATAGGGTCTCTTACAGGTAAGTTAAGAGAGTTAGTGAACACAGCGGTTAGGAGGCGTGTAGATATCTTATGCGTCCAAGAGACTAAATGGAAGGGGCAGAAGGCGAAGGAGGTGGACAATACCGGCTTCAAGCTTTGGTACACAGGGACAACTTCAAATAAAAATAGAGTAGGAATTTTGATTGATAAGAGCCTCAAGGATGGTGTGGTGGAGGTGAGAAGACAAGGGGATAGGATCATCTTAGTTAAACTTGACATTAGTGATGTGGTCTTAAACGTAATTAGTGCGTATGCCCCCCAAGTAGGCCATGATGAGAGTGCTAAGCGGCTTTTCTGGAAAGACTTAAATCGCTTGGTTAGAGCTGTCCCTAGTAGCGAGCTCTTTATAAGAGGTGATCTTAATGACCATGTAGGTACATCCAGTGCAGGTTTCGATGCGGTTCAAGGAGGTTTCGGATATGGTAGTAGGAACCAGGAGGGGTAGTAGGAACCAGGAGGGAGAGGAAGTCTTAGACTTCGCCATAGATTTTGATCTGATGATAGCTAACACTTTCTTCCGTAAGAGACAGTCCCATTTAGTGACCTTTAGTAGCGGCCAGTACTCTAGTCAAATCGACTTTATCCATACAAGGAGAGATAAACGAACATGCGTGGACTGTAAGGTGATACATGGAGAATGTGTGGTCGCTCAAACAAAGCTGGTGGTGGATGACTTCCGCTTTCTGGTGCAAGCTCGTGGGAACAAACAATCTAAGGTTGCTAGAACAAAGTGGTGGAAATTAGAAGGGGATGCATCAAAGGTCTTTAAGGAAAAGGTCATTGAAGAGGGCCCTTGGAAGACGATGCAAACAGCATATGGGAGAAAATGACAACATGCATTCGAAAGGTTGCTTCAGAGGTGCTTGGAGTGACCTAAGGGAGCGGATGCGACTCGAAAGACACTTGGTGGTGGAATGAAGATGTGCAAAAGGCTATTAAGGAAAAGGAGTGCTATAAGCGATTGTATCATGACAGGTGTGCAAACAACATAGAGAAGTACAAGGTGGCAAAGAAGACTGCAAAACGAGCGGTGATTGAGACAAAGGGGCGGGCCTATGAGGACCTTTATCGCCGTTTGAGTACGAAGGAAGGAGAGAAGGACATTTATAGGATGGCTAGGGCTCGCGATAGAATGATAAGGGACTTCAACCAAGTCAAGTGCATAAAGGATGAGAGGGAGCAACTCTTGGTGAAGGAGGAAAAGATCAGACATAGATGGCAATAGAATTTTGATAAATTGTTCAATGGTGAGAACGAGAACACCACCGTTCAGCTGGACGACTCGTTTGATGACACTAACAGGCGCTTTGTGCGGAGGATTCAAGAATCGAAGGTCAGAGAAGCCTTGAAAAGGATGAAAGGGGGCAAAGCGATGGGCCCTGATGGTATCCCAATCAAGGTGTGGAGATGTCTCGGGGATATAGCTACAGATAGTATGGCTAACCAAGATGTTCAACAATATCTTTCGATCGAACAAGATGCCTGAGGAGTGGAGAAGAAGCATATCAGTACCAATCTACAAGAACAATGGAGATATCCAAAGTTGTACTAATTATCGGGGAATTAAGTTGATGAACCATACTATAAAGTTATGGGAGAGAGTCATCGAGCAGAGCCTGCGAGGAACGACGCAGATATCAACAAACCAATTTGACTTCATGCCCGGAAGGTCAACCACAGAAGCAATCTTCTTAATAAGACAGGTTATGGAGCGGTTTAGAGAGCAGAAGAAGGACCTCCACTTGATTTTCATTGACTTGGAGAAGGCTTATGACAAGATACCAAGAAATATTATGTGGTGGTCTTTGGACAAACATAAAGTCCCATCAAAGTACGTGACCCTCGTCAAGGACATGTACAACAATGTTGTGACTAGTGTTCGAACAAACGATGGTAACAAAGATTACTTCCCAATTAAAATTGGACTTCATCAAAGGTCAGCCTTAAGACCGTATCCCTTTGCCTTGGTAATGGATAAGGTTACCATGAACATACAAGGGGATATCCCTTGGTGTATGCTGTTCGCTGATGATGTAATGTTAGTGGACGAAAGCCAGGCGGGAGTAAATAGGAAACTAGAGTTATGGCAGCAGACCCTTGAATCTAAAGGTTTTAGATTGAGCAGAACTAAAACCGAATACATGAGATGCGAGTGCGACTTTAGCGGAGTTGTACAGGAGGAGGGAGATGTGAGTTTAGAAGGTCAAGTAATGCCTAAGAAGGATACCTTTCGGTATCTGCGATCGATGCTACAGAGGGATGGAGATATTGATGCGGACGTTAGCCATAGAATCAAAGCAGGGTGGATCAAGTGACGACAAGCTTCTGGCATTCTCTGTGACAAGAGGGTACCACAAAAGCTAAAAGGCAAGTTCTATAGAACGGCGATTAGACCGGCTATGTTGTATGGAGCAGAATGTTGGTCTACAAAGATTCGACATGTTCAACAACTGAGTGTTGCAGAAATACGTATGTTGCGATGGATTTGCGGTCACACAAGAATGGACCGAGTTCGAAACGATGATATACGTGATCGCCTAGAGGTAGCACCAATTGAAGAAAAGCTTGTCCAACATCGGTTGAGGTGGTTTGGCCATGTCCAAAGGAGACCTCCAGAGGCACCAGTGCATTGTGGAGTCCTAAGCCAAGCTAATAATATGAGGAAAGGTAGAGGAAAACCGAAATTGACATGGGGAAAGGCAATAAAAAGAGATTTGAAAGCTTGGGTTATACCTAGAGATCTATGTTTGAATAGGAGTATTTGGAAAGCAGCTATTGAAGTGCCTGAACCGTAACTTGGGGCTCTTGGTGGGTTTCAACTCTAGCCTACCCCAACTTGCTTGGGACTGAAAGGCTATGTTGTTGTTGTACATAAACAAACACCAGAACTTCCATAAGGATGGTGTAACTAGCAATCAAAACCATCTGCTTTGAATTAAATTACATACCTGGTGTGGTAGATCTAAACCAGTGTCATCTGGAAATAGGTTGCACAAGATATTACTGTCCAGACCCTCTGAATCTTCAATTCCAACACAAACAACATTCAACTTTGCCAAGTATTCAAACCTCAGGGTGATGAGTTTACGGCGTTTGCTACCAGAATCTTCAGTATCATATACATGGAGGATAATTTTAAGTGGGTGAAGTTGATAGGCCACTGCTGGATTATTAGCTTCCTTCACCACATTCTTTTTGGATCTTGACCTTCTTCTCTGAGCATCTTCTTCATCATCAATCACATCATCATCCATTCTGCTGTCGCCATTTGAAAGAGTGCCTGCTACAAGATACATATGAGACACACTACATCAGGAAGATCTCCAAGCCTGCCATCATGCTGTATGAACAGAAGATCCAGCAATTGGACACAGGATCACTTATCTCAAGTTTAAAACTTATAGATGAATAATTAAGCAACTATGCACTACAAGGATGCTGTTATCAGTTAGGAATATTAAAATAGACCACGGCCTTCAAGAAAAGTTTGCTAAAGATTGCTATGCAGCAATACTGAAAACAAGCTGCTGGTTTACGTTAAATGTCTCAAAGCACCAAGCCACCAACCTAGGCCTTTGTGAAAACAGTAACTTAAAAAAGGAATTTGTACAGACTGTACCATTGGTCAGGGTTCTTACAAGGACATCATTGATTCTCTACTTAAAAACAAGACTGGAGATCCACACAACAATGGACTAAACACAACTTCGCCAGGACACATAGCTGTGGCATACTCCCTCCATCCTGTATTCACAGGCGCTTAAACAATTTTCACCAGGACCAAGACATCATTAACTCGTATTAATCCTATTCCTCACAGCCCACAAAAACGTTTCAGTTTCAAACGGCTGCCAGCTTGCATGCCGCACAATCCAACTGTATGCATGTGTCGCCATGCTTACTGCAACGCCCATGCTCCCGCCATAGCCACAGACTCCCACGCCGCGCGCCACTGGCTGGGTAATGAGGAGTCACAGTAACTGCATACGGGAAGAGTGGATGCATGTGAACAGGAAACAAGGCATGCAACTGCATGCAAATAGCTATTACGCATGTGAATGCCGGATACTTTTCCAGACCCAGTACGCCTATGAATACGACTCCCTCGGTCCCTCCGTTCCCTTTTACCAGGCGTGACCATAGTCACAAAGTTTTTGGGTCAACGGAGTCGTGGTACGGGGTCAAGGGACATGGTACGCAATTTGCGAGACATTTTTACAGTGAGGGTCGACAATGAACCCACAAACCCGGGTCAGGGTCGACGAACCCGGGTCGAGGGTCAAACCCGTTTTATGTGACTATGGGCACGACAAGGCTGTTTACAGATACCAAGGACGACCTTCAATCACATGCAAATCGTATTAATTCGCATAGTCGTCTGTGACCTGTGTCCCCAGCCACGAAGTCTAAGGGCGTCTCCAACAATATAAGCTAGTACTAGCTCCAAGCTAGCAAATGTGGAAGAGAGAGCCAATAGCATTTATATAATATTGTGAGAGAGAGGGGCATCGTGAAACGTGCGACGCTAGCCTCTTGTCTTTTGCACTATTCAGTGAATAAAAATTTGATTCAGCTAGCTCTAAGCTAGACCATTGGGGATGCTCTAACTGTCGTTCCGTTTCTGCCCAGCAGTATACAGGCCACATTTGCATCCACGCCTTCATTTAATGGACCAAAGGTGCCATTCCATGCATGTCACGCTTCGGCGCTGGGCTATTCGCATGCATGAGACGTTTCGGTTTTGAGTGGTCTAATTAAGTGCCCCCTCGATACTCCAGCCCGCCCAGTATTATGGCCAATATGAAAAATGAGAATACGCCTGGTATCACGGAGCGGAGGGAGTATATGGAAGGAGTATCAAGCAAATGCATATGTACCATTTAACTTCTTGGCTTGCTGTTGAGCAAATATTTGGGCATCCTTTGTGCTTCCCGTGATCTCTACTTCAATATTCTCTCCAAATGCTTCTTTCTGCCCTATTAACTGAGTGTATGCTATATAAAGCGGAGTAGGCAGTAACTCCGCAGCATGGTGCTGCTTTAGTTTCTTGGTATGTTGCATCCCCAACTGTTGCTGCACTGGCAATGATGCTTTCTTCAATGATTTCAAATGTGATGGAAGGCTTGAAAGGAACTTTTTCTGATTAGCAATTGTCTCCAGCAAGCTGCTCCTCTGTTGTTCTAATTTCTCGTGTAGCTTGCATAACTCTTTCCTCTGATTCACAATTAAAAAAAAACTATTTTAGAAGTCAGCAAGAAAATCACGGAAACAGCACAAATAAGAGAACACTAGCACCACCTCATAGGGCATAGAACTACTCTCACTAAGTTGTTCAAATTGTGTGCAGAAGCAAATAAAAGAAATAAAAAAAGGTGCAACACGAGCGAAAGAATGCATGTGACTGGATGGTGATCAACTTAAGACATGAGAGCAAAAAGTGATGGTAAACAACCTGAGCTGAATGAAGAATATATGTGCAATCTTAAAAATAGATTATAGAAATTGTCATTATGCTACAATTATTATTAGTTAATAGCGATACAAATAATGCAAATACTATAATAAGTGCAAAACTCAACTAGCCTCCTAGGAATAAGATGTATATTTTAAAAGGGGTTGAAGCACAGCATAATATAATTCAGCAAAATATGTGTGATACAATCAGCTTGCCAAGCCAACAATAAGTTTGCCAGGTGACTGCAAATATTTTAGTATGCTTGCTAGGCTTAAAGTGTTATGTAATTTACCAACAGCTCCCATAGCTCGCAATGCAGGCTGTTCATATTTAAGTCCCTCAAACAGGGAACCAAACAGAGCACAGCAAATTGGCAAGAAGTAGAGTTCCATAGTTCCTACTGGGCTGCAACAGATAGCAATACGCAACCTGGACGAGCTCAAAGTTGAGGCGCTTGAGCATGAGGTCATGGGAGGCGTCGGCAGCGAGGGTCTTCTCAAGGATGTCTGCCGGCGCGGAACGCTGGAACTCCTCCTCGGGCACAAGCTCTATCCCCGGATACTTCGTCTGAAAGTCGAGACACGCCCTTATGGCCTTCACGTAGTGGTTCTTCTCGTACAACAGGTTATGCAGCTGCAGCGTCGTGGAGTCCACCGGCACCTTCGCGGCCTCCGTCTCCGCCTTGACCTTGTCCTCCTCCATCAGGATCTCCCTGTTCACCTGCGCGGATCAAACTCAACTTAGCACCGCAGATCTACAGGTAGGGTTTTGGGATGTGGGCTAGGGTTTTGGAGCGCGACGCCGACGTACTTGGCGTAGCGTGACGAGGAGCAGCGACATCTGAGTGACGAGCTCGCGGAGCTCCGACTTGGGGGCGCCGTCTTTCTTGATGGCGAGCATCCGGGAGGCGACCTTCTCGATGGAGGCGCGGGTCTCGGCGAGGAGGTCGTGAGGGGAGCGCGACTTGGTGGCCGAGGAGGTAGTCAGCGGCCTAGCCGGCGCGTCGACGTCCATGGCTTCCGCCGTCGGCGCCGCCGCCATCGGTTCGGCCGGCGCGGGGAGAGACGACGACCGTGGTGTGATGAAGTGGGTGAAGCGGAAGTGTGTCAGACCCGTCACCCGTCTAACCAAAAGGCGATCGTGCAGCTAGAGCTAGGATATTTGGGCGGCTGGGCCGTTTATTCCTTAGACTAGTTAGGCCCAAATTGCAGCAACAGAGAATGAAGAAGTTAGTTTTTCGCGTTTGGCCCATAATGGAGAAGGTCTCGGTGCACAGACCCATAGTCTTTTTATAAAGAACTTTAATTCTAGCTGTGGCTATTGCCACGAGTATAAGCAGAAGTGTTGCTGCTGCACCCGTGTAGCTCCAGCGTACTCTTTATTTTGAGACCATGATTCTAATTGTGGGGCTCTTCAACAGTTTCAACTGTTAATCTATAGCCGGGTTCGCACTTCGACGAAAAATCTGTCTACTTGCTATGCTAAAATCTGAGGACAGAAAAATGCTTACAACCCGTTTGATGTTGGTATCGACGCTAATTTGGCTTTGTCATTCAATACCCGCAATTAGTCAATTCTGTTGTTTGGATGGTCTTGGTATTCGTGGGTGGAAACGAGCTCCAATACACGTCATTCGACCTGCATGTTAGACCTCGCCCACAATACCGAGGCCTACACCTCTGTATTCACCCGAATCGGCCCTTTCTTCCCCACGCGAAAAAAGTCGCTGCTCACTGCAGACACGTTCCCCTTGTCTTCTCCCGCGCACCAGCCCCTCTATCCCTCCCTCCTTGTCGCAACCCACAGAGCTCCTTCCCCTCGTCTTCTCCCACTCCGGCAAGGTGTGTGGCGCCATGCTCGGCGCCGCCTCTACCCACTCCCCGGCGACGAGGACGATGGCGAGGCGGCTTGAGCATGCGTGAGGTCGAGCCCCCCCATGGCCGGTCGAGCTCCCCTAAGATCCTCCATGGCTGATCGAGCTCTACCATCGGCAACCCCTTCTTCCCCATCGTCTGCGGCTGCCGTGATCCACCATGCCCGGTCGAGCTCTCCCATTGGCGTCCCCTTCTTCCCCATGGACGCGGATCAGTAGCCATCACCGGGGTCGAGCTCCCTCGTCGTGGCTAGGTCGAGTTCCTCCTGTCGTGGCCCAACGTGGTGGTCGCTACTAACCTCCACCTACCATGGACAGGGTAAGCTTCCCAAGCATTTCAATTTCATGCTTTTGCATTCAAAAAGGAAACGGATTTGAGCTGCTTGCTAGGATTCCAAAAGCCAATTCAATGATCATCCAAACAATAATATTCGAATTGTTGACATTTCAATACCATGGCTACTTTGGTGAACCCAATTCAATTCCAGCTCCCCCGTATCTACATCTAAATCGACCCTTACACAATTTGTGGTACCGGTTAATCCAGTGATGAGACTTAAGATCCTGCTGAGCTTCTCTATATCCAGCTACGCCAAGAAGACACCGCACTTATCTTCAGCCCGTTCGGCTGGGATGGCTGGCTGGCTGGTGCTGGCCAGTCCCCTCACGCGGGCACTATTCACATAAACAGTGCCTTCTAGCCAGAACAGTATTTTTCTCTCACACAAACCAGCTAGCAGTACTTCCTCACGAACAAGTCGGCCCAGCCGAACAGGCTACTTGTCTATACCTAACGGAGCCATGTGTGATTAGTGGCCTCTCTGGCTCGCCATCGTGTCGTGGTTTTACAACCTCATCTCCCCCGAGCTCCTGTCCATGGTCTCCGACGACGCCGACACCGCCTACTCCCTCTGGCGTGGCGTCCGCAACCTCTTCCGCGACAACAAGGACACTCGTGTCGTCTACCTTGGTGCTGAATTCCGCAACTTCTACCAAGGCGACCTCCCCGTCCTCGACTACTGCTCCAAGATGAAGGTCATGGCGGATCGGCTGGCCGGGCTCGGCGCTCCGGTGAACGACAAAGACCTCATCTACAACATTGTGCGCGGCCTCAACCCTCGTCTTCATCACGCGATCCCGCACATCACTCTTCGTTGCCGCCTGCCGTCGTTCCTCAAGACTTGATCCATGCTTCAGCTCGAGGAACACCGCATCGCCGAATCCGAGAAGATGCAGGCCACGGCGGCGCTGGTCGCTCAAGCCGCAACCGCCAGCTCCACCTCGTCCAGTGCGCCTCCTGCAGCACCTACGGCTGCACATCTTCAGGCTGTGGCCGCGTTCGTCGCCCATGCCGCCCCGAACGCGCACCCGTCGTAGGGCACTAGCGCCGGGAAACAGCCCGCCACGTTTCCTGCTGCCCCGGCCTCTGGTGGACGCTCGTTCCAGTCTTCCTCCAACGCCAGGAAAAAGAAGAAGAAGGGCGCGCCTTCCTCCCAGGCTCCACCGCCGGGCTTCTGGCCCTCCATGAACCCCTGGACTGGCATGGTCCAGGCGTGGCCGTTCCAGGCCCCACGCGCTCCGACGGCAGGCGTCCTCGGACCTAGACCTCCTGCCACAACCCCCAAGCCCACGTCACCGGTGCTTCCTCTCCGTTGGACCCACAGCTCCTCGCCACTCTCAACAACATATCGCTGCACCAGCCTCAGTCCACCGGCGAGTGGTTCTTTGACACCGGCGCCTCCTCCCACATGTCTCAAGGCTCCGGTAACCTCTCCTCCCTCTCTCCCAATTCCTCCTCAACGTGGATCATTGTTGGTAATGGCTCCTCTCTTCCCATTACCCACACTAGTTCCTCTTCCACCTCTCTATTACTTAACAACATTCTTATCTCTCCATCATTGATCAAGAATCTTATTTCCGTTCGCGCTCTTATGCGTGATAATCCTATCACTGTTGAATTTGACGCTTGTGGTTTCTCTATCAAGGATCAACACACCCGGGAGGTGATTCTCCGCAGTGATAGCCAGGGCGACCTCTATCCTCTACATCCGACGGCCGCTGCACCCACCCACTGCCTCACCGCCCTCTCTGCAGACCTGTGGCACCAATGACTTGGACACCCCGGGCGCGAGTCTTTCCGTCGTCTTCTTCAGTCCTTTGCATTCTCTTGTAATAAAAGATCTCCCTCATACTTGTCATGCTTGCCAGATTGGCAAACATGTTCGTCTCCCATTTTAACAGTCACAGCATAAAACAATTGCACCTTTTGAATTAATTCATTGCGATGTTTGGTCGTCACCGGTTGCAAGTTTCACTGGCTTTCAGTATTATCTTGTGCTCTTGGATGATTTCACGCATTTTGTTTGGACCATCCCTTTGCGCCGCAAATCTGAGGTTGCCCAACACATCATGTCGTTCCATGCCCTTGCTCGCACACAATTTGGGAGCAGTGTCCGCTCTTTTCAAAGTGACAATGGCCGGGAGTTTGATAACTCCACACTCCGTCAGTTCTACTCCGAGCATGGCATCTCATTCCGACTTTCTTGCCCTTACACCTCGCAACAAAACGGCAAAGCGGAACATGTGCTGCGCACTCTGAACGCGGCGTTCGTACACTGCTTCTGCACGCCGGCCTCCCACCTGTCTTTTGGGTCGAGGCTTTGCACACATCCACTTACCTACACAATCGCAAACCATGCAAGCCACGTTCCCTGTCCACTCCCTACTCCCTTCTCTATCACACCGATCCTAACTACACCTCCCTGCGAGTATTTGGGTGCCTTTGTTACCCAAATACCGCAGCCACCAGCCCTAACAAACTATCTCCACGATCTGTGGCGTGTGTGTTTATTGGCTACTCGCAGGATCATCGTGGATATCGGTGCTATGACTTGCAGACGCGCAAAGTGATCACCTCGCGCCATGTCTACTTCGACGAAGGTGTCTTCCCGTATCGCTCGGGATCATCGTCTGCCTCCCCAACCACCATCGCCTACGATCCGTGGCGGCCTGGTCCACGCAGCACGACTGCGGATCTCCTGCCTTCCCCACCGGCTTCGCCACGCAGGACACCGTGCGTGAACCAAGGATCGCCCCGGACTGCTTCCCCAGCTCCGTCCGACGGATCGTCGCCGCGGTCACCATCGACAGCTGCGTCAACCGGCGCCTCCACGCCACAGCCCTCCTCCTCCGTGGCACGTTCACCATCGTCCACGCCGTCCAGCAGGCATGCCTCCACATGCACTCTCCGACCACAGCGCATCAGGGACTTGTCGAGCGAATCCTCCGATACATCCGCGGGACTACGGCGCTCGGCCTTCATCTCCGTCGGTCTAACCTGTCCGATCTCACTGCCTACTCAGACGCTGATTGGGTGAGGTGTCCCGACACGCGGTGCTCAACATCGGGCTTCTGTGTGTTCATGGGGGACTCGCTGATATCGTGGTCCTCCAAACGGCAAACAACAATTTCCCGATCCAGCGCCGAAGCGGAGTACCGCGGCGTCGCAAATGCCGTGACTGAATGCACTTGGCTTTGGTAGTTGCTTGGCGAGCTGGACTGTCCACTGACCAAGGCCATGATCGTGTTCCGCGACAACGTCTCGGCTTGCTATATGAGCTCCAATCCAGTGCATCACAAAAGAATGAAGCACATCGAGCTCGACGTGCACTTTGTACGGGAGAAAGTTGCCGTTGGCCAATGCAAGGTTCTTCATGTACCCACGACGCAGCAGCTCGCCGACGTGATGACCAAAGGACTACCGACGACGAGCTTCAAGGAGTTCTGGAACAGTCTGTGCGTCGCCGGCAACGACTCTCACACTGCAGGGGGTGCTAGCGAACAGTTTTCTCCATGTTCTGCACGACCTAAGGCTCTCCTTGTTTGTAGCTAATCTCAACCGTGATGTACCTGTATATAGGCGTAAGCCTTTGAGCAATATAACTTGAGTTGTCTTCCATTCGTTATTTCCCTTTTACACTTTCATGGCTTATAAGCCAATTCAGCCGAAAAGAGGTTGTATACAGAGACTACAGTAATGAAGCACTGCGCACGCTGGCCCTGGTGCCTGTCTGGTAGTGATGGTAACCGCATTGCTACGCCTACGCGACTCTGTTCTTAAAAGCACCACCGCACCGCACGCTCATGCATGCTGCTGAGCTCATACTGC